TTTAAGACGTAGACAGAGAAGTCGCGAGACGCTCAGTCGTAGAGGTAAAGAAGCCCGACGAAGCAAAGACAATCTTTCTAAAACCGGTGAGAAATAATAATAATAATAATAATAATAATAATAATCTAATTCTTGATAAGAATCAATGTAGAATTATTTGACGAATTTGTTTCTAATTTCTTCATAATTGATCAACTCAATAATTTTGGAATTATATTATAATTGCAAAATTATTGAGTTAATCAATAAATAATGTCTAATTATTATATATATATATATATATATATATATATAACACTATAATAACAATTATATCTAAATAAATAACACTAGTATAACAATGATATAATATTAAATTGACCGATAAATAATATCTTTATATCTAATAAATTTCTGTTATATATTTTATTTAGAAATAAACAACCTTAGTATTTATTATTGCGAATCAAAATGTTTATTGATCGACCAAAATATTTTCATATAATAAATGGTATGACATTTTAAAATATTCTATGAATATTTAATTCATAATAACGAAATAACATTTAATTCATTAATTCATGTATAAACTAATTTGATTTTGTTTTAATTTTTTAATTTTTTTTTTTGTTTTTTTTTGTTTTTTTTTTTTTTTTTTTTTTTTTTATAGGTACGATCAATCGCAGTACGTTGAAATCAAAGGACAAGCAGAAAGTGGACAGGACCGTTTCCACGGAATCGCTATCGACGAAATCTCGGAGCGTGAACTCGAAGCCAGAGCTCAGTAGGTCAACATCCGTACCACGTGATCCAAACAAGAGCGCGGGATGGTTTAAGCTAAAGAGCAAAAAATCCCGGGCCTAAAGAAAAGGCCATTGATCAATGCTAGTCTTGAGTTTCATAAGTAATATTCGTAATCTTTAGCGGCTGAAAATTAACAAGTCGAATCCATCGCGAATTCGCGATTGTGAACACGACAATTTCTTTATTTACATAATTTTTTTCCCCTCTCCTTTGTTCTTTTATTTTATTTTATTTTATTTTATTTTATTTTATTTTATTTTATTTTTATTTTCATTTTTTTCTTTATTTCCTATTTTTCATTTTTTTCTTGTCTCTTTACTCTATTATCGTACAATGCGAGCGAGTGAGATAACATTAATCTATTAACAAATTTAAATATATAAATTTATTAAATTTGTACCAATCGAATCTATTGCGAAAAATACAAACAAACAAACAAACAAACAAACTTGAAACTACGCTCGACTTTTATATGCGTGCATTCGTATTACAAAATACACAATATAAGATATAATGATTGTTTAAAAACCTTAATTTTTTCTCTCTCTCTCTCTTTCTCTTTCTCTCTTTCTCTCTCTCTCTCTTTCTCTCTCTTGTTACAAATCTCATTAGAACTTTATTATTTTCTTTATGATAATTGATCGTATTAAAGGAATATCTCTAACACTTTGTTGTTTTAACGTAACAAAGACGAATTAATTATATATATATATATATATATATATATATATATATATATATATATATATCGGTACTAACAAACAAATAAAAACTTGGAGAATTTTGGTTTTGACGATAGACGCGAGTATAAACATACGATGAAAGAATAACCAAATGTATAATACTTTTTAATAAGATCCTTAAAAACAATGTCATGCCACGATATTGAAATTGTAATTGAAGTTTAAGAAAAGAATTGATATAAATGATCGAATAAATTAATATATATATATATATAAAAGCCTTCTCTCTACCAAATTTAATCGTTTAAATTTGTTGAATAAGAAGAGAATGCATCGGATCAAAATGAAAAAAAAAAGAAAATATATTCGAAGGAAAATGTGGCACGTGTATTAAAAAAATTCGTGCTCTTTCTCTCTTCCTCTTTCTCCGATTTGGGTGTTAAATATATTAATTAAAACGGTATATATAATATATACGCGTAGTATAATTTATTAAAAACAAGGAAAGAAGAAAAGAATTTTATACTACCGTGAATGCGAGTGCCATTTACATTTGCATAGATCTTTTATACTTTTAATATAAATCAAAATTTTCTCTCTCTCTTCTCCTTTCTCTCTCTCTCTCTCTCTCTCTCTCTCTCTTTCTCTTTCTCTCGCTCTCTCACTCTCTCACTCTTTCTCTCTCTCTCTCGTATTCTTTAATGAAAAAATAAAAAAATAAAAAAAGAAAAAAAGAAAAATGCGATTAGCGATATAAAATATATTTTATATATATATATACATATATATATATATATAAATATACATACGAATAACCATTTCACGAATCGCATTGTAAAAAGTATAAAAGCCAAGTAAGCACGTACTTAAAAATACGACGTAAATATATATAAATTTCTTTTGTTCATAGGCTAACGTAAACCTTTCTCCCCTTTCGTTTCTTTTCTTTTCTCTTTTTTTTTTCTTCTTCTCTCACGCTTTTTTATGTATATACTTGTAATATTAATCCTTTATTGTTTGCTATTGTTATACTTTAATCTCGAGATCTTTCCTATACGAACATCCATTTGTCACTAAATGATCATGATCATCAACGGCTACGATTTTCATCTGGAAAAATAATTTGTTACAGGAGAGAATCTTTGTTTATATCAATTCATCTCAAAACCGATTATGACAACAGAGTAAATGATAAAAGCATAGAACAATTTTCTGTTGTACTGTGATATGCCGTTGTCCTGTTAAAAGGATCGATTTACTCAGTGACAAAAAAATAGTCATCCGCACCATAAGTTTCATTTCCATTTGGTGCTAATTATATGTGTATGTACATATGAATCATTAAGGATTGCATGTAAATATCATGGATATATGGATGGTCTGTATTGGTTTACTGATAAATTTGTATTGTCCATTAACATAGTTATTAGTCCTTCACACAACAAGTGTAAGAAAAATAATATTAAATGTACGGAGACATAGAACTCTGGCAACAAGTTATATTTTGTAACATGAATAACAATTTGAAATAAACGAACAATAATTTCAAAGAATTTCAAAACGATATAACAAACAATGGAGTGTTTTATAAATTGCAATGGTATGATAATAATATATTATACATATATATGTATATATTTTGACTCTCATATAATATTGTGTAAATCATAAATGTTTACTAACTAATAAGCTTCGTAAAAAAAAAAAAAAAAAAAAAAAAAAAAGAAAAAAAAGAAGAAAAAAATAGAGAATCAGATTTGTTTTGTTATCTCTCTGATCCACCGGTTAAAGAAATATTCTCTATAACATATCGTGCATTCCTTTATCATACAATTAAAAAGAAAATTATTCCAATGTATATAATTTATCCCAACAACATAAAGTAGTTCCCATCAATATCAATATCATTCCAATATATGTATCTGAAACATAATATCAAGGAATGCATAAAATATTTGATAGAAAGATAAAATCTATAAGTAATAAATTTCTTACTTCTTTCTGCTCTCTTCTCTCCTAAGATCCAACCTGTCACAGCGGTAATCACAAAGGTAAGAGAATTAGAAACTGGAACTGCCAAAGATATATCAGCACCTTGCAAAGCCAAGTAATACAGCAAAGATCCAATTTGATTGAACAGAAATGGTGTCATGTACTAATAAAGGTTAGAATCAATTAAAACACAATAGTTTTCCTTACTATAGATATAAAGAAAAACAAAAACCTTTGCATTGGTAAAAAGAAAATAAAGTTCCTTAAAAAATTGACCATAGCTGGTTTTTGCTTCTACATTTTCTAAACCACTTGCACCTTTTTTTATTAATGGATTAGTTATGCCCCATAAAAATGCTACAAGGACAAGATATATCACAGATTCTAAAATAAAATTAATGGAAAGATATATATTATTAATTGAAATTTTCAAACACTGTTATCTCAAAATATAATGTTTAAGAAAAATAAGTATTTCATTCGTACCTGTGTTTACTGTCATTTTTATTAATATGCAGATATCATATTTTTATACCAATAATAATTATTATTTATAAACATATTTCAAAAAACTCTTATCACATATTTTTTGTTATATTTTCAAAGTGTAATACATCATTCACATGAGTAAACAGAACGAACTTATACTACGTAGTAAAACAATTGTAATAAATATTTTCAATCATATAATATAGGTTAGCAATCATAGTTTATATAAACAGCATGTTAATTATTTTTCTCCCTTTCAATTCGAACAAATCGTCATAGATGCCGCTTTCTTTCTATGAATCATACTGGACGCGCTCTCTGGAACAATTTTAGAAAGTAACACAAAATAATAAATAATAACTGAAATTAAATAATAACTATTATAACGAAATTGATTAATGAAACTTTTTATAATAAATCTTTTAAATAATTATTTTAAATCATAATCATAAATAAATCTTTTTTGAAAAACTACAATTTATAGCTACGACATAATCAATTTTCTACTTGTAAATATTATTTTCATAACAAAAATATTGCATTCATCTGAATCGCTTATTTATGAAAAAAAAATTATGTATAAATCAAATAATTATTAAATTATTATATAAACAATAAATAATTACTATTTAAAGATTCAATTATTAATAAAAATTTAATTATTAGTTACATTATTAATAAAAATTATTAATATAATTATTTAATTCGTATAATAATTTTTGTAATTAATAATAATAATAATTTAATTTAAAAATTAAATAAAAAAAAGAAAAAAAAACAATTGAATACAAACATTCAGAAATGTTACCGACGAAACCGATCAATCACAAACATCTTTTCGTACATAGATGGAGCTGATGGTCGCTTTAAACGAATGAAAGTTTTTTCTCGACCCGTTACCAATCACCCCACTCATCTTCGCGCTGAAACACTTGTCGGTCTCTTACGATGATCAAGTACGTTAGCGAGGTAGCTCATCGGGTAGTGTGCCGTAGGAATCTTTGTAAGTAGCAACATCGTTTTTTTTCTCCTTTACATTTGGAAGGACGGAGTCGCGTATGTAAGCAGGTACCTAAATAACACACGGGTCTACATCAACGTTATTTTCATTTCGCCGTTATGAACGAATTTGACGAAAGTACATATATTATTATATAAATTAATCTTCTTTTATTTTTCTTGAAAGATCAAAAATCTAATTCGATCGTAGAAACAAAATAAATATTTCTTTCTAACACGTCGTATTACATTTAATATTTTTTCGTGTATTTTGCAAAGCGATTTATCGATTTATTCTTAATTGAATAAAGATAATCCACATTCGTATTGTTCAACAATGTATTACTTCCTTATTACCAAATAGTAATAATATTAACGGATCGTTTGATCAATCATATTATCATTTATTATTCTATATTTTATTACAATGATACGCGTACGAAATCTTGTAAACAATGATACATACGACCGGATATTGTAACAGCGGGAAATTTAAAAGTTCTATAATACTTGTATATATTTTTAGGTGATACTACAACGATTATATTATTTGTGCTTATTTGAGAAAAAGGAAAATCAATATCTCGGTATTAAAGTGGAACCAATTATCGATCGACGATTTAATATAAGAAGGGATAAATATGCGGAAAATGGATTCCCGAGAAGGGCCTATAGTTAATCGCTTTCCACGACCAAATCTACGTGGGATGACAAGAAATAGAATCACGGCAGGTGGGTAGAAAGAAACGAAGAGGTATTTGGAGCGCAACAAGAGCACAAGCACGTTCCTTCCTCCTCCGCAAGAATCACGGGGTTTCCTTCCCCCCTTTCTTTTCAGCCATCACCCCTCTCCTCACCCTACATCACGTTTTACGATCCGCACTAATGAAATTAGCGTCCATTAAGTCGGAGGGTCACCTACTTTACCGAGAGCAAGGTCATAACAAATGTTCATTCATCATTAATAATAATAATAATAATAATAATAATAATAATAATAATAATCCGTTACATTGGATTTCCAATAAACTGGAGATTACACGATTTAATTTTTTTAAAATGGATATAGATCAATTAAATAAAAATTAATTAAAAATCATAATATACGAATTTTTCATTAGAGATGGAACTTGAAAATCATTTTTCTATTATTGTAAATCCTTCGTTTAATCTCATATTTTCTTACATTTTCGTCATATAAATATATAATTAGAGATTTTCTTAGATAATAATTAGCTTTATAAAGTCAACGAGCACTACCCACGATTTGTTTATTTCAAACAAAACACGTATAATCTAATGGACACGTTCTAAATACATTATAGATGTTACGTGTTATAATGCATAGACTTCGAATTATATTCCAAGAGTATTTTAATTCTACAGTACGTATATGTGTATGTATCTAGTATTTTATATATATATATATATATATATATATATATATATAAAATATATATATATAAAATATATATATATATATATATACGTATACGATAATTATAATACGTGAATAGTTTTGTATTAATTGTTAAAAACTCGTGAGAATCGACTATCGACAGTATTTGGATGAATCTCTCGTGCGACGCATTACGGTATGCAACCGGATCAGACATATTATAGCTTGTACGCGTGTTACGCAAGCGTATCGAGTGTATTATGAATCGTGCATACGCTATCCGTGACCGTATACAGAAGCGTTCTTATACAGAAGAGAGAAAAACAAGCTAAATCATTTTCGGCAAAACTTTCGATACTTTTTATATAAGATCATCTATTAAAATATACGCGATATAATATAAAATATATATATATATATAATCATAATCATAAATAATAATCTATAATTTGTATTGTATTACGCATAGTTTCAAAA